GAAGTCTATTGTGACTCTTGCAACATGTGGTCGGGCATTATCTTGTTGGAAAGTTGGATCTGCCAGGGTGTCAAGATAGGGTAAAAGATGGGGTTCTAGAACTTTGTGGATATAAAGCTGCGCGTTCATGTTACCTCTGATGAAGATTAAAGGTGACCTGGAACCATAAGCTATAGCACCCCAAACCATAACTCCAACAGTGTGATGAACATGTCTTTCAACAAAAAACTGTGGATTCCTCCTTTCACTACGTCACCTTCTAACCCTGGCACGACCATCGTGCATGCCTAAACAAAATCGAGACTCGTCACTAAAGACAATACTGTTCTATTACTGATCCCAGAGTGACCGTTGTCTGCACCACTCAAAGCGATTACGTCGGTGTTCTCGAGTTAAAGGGAGGACCCAGTGTGGCCGGTATGAAAACAAGCCAAAACTTCTCATTCGTCGGTAAACACTTCGCATGCCAATAGGTCTTCCGTGTTCTTCAAACCATTCATTTGCAATGGACCTGGTAGTGGAGAAACGGTCCCTTAAGGCCAATAATCTTAGGCGGCGATCTTCACGGTCTGTTGTTCTACGGCGGCGTCCAGTGCCCGTTGCTCTTTGCGTACGGCCTTCTCGAAGCCATGCCTGACAACACCTAACCACAGTGTCTACACTTCTTTGCACTCTAACTGCAATTGCCCAAAAAGAAAGTCCAGCTTCCCGAAGTCCCACTATACGGCCCCTATCAAACTCACTAAGTTGACGAAATCGTACAGGTCTCCGTACTCTAGGCATCGTAACCGAAAAAAAGCAGTATAAAAACCGGAATGTCCAACTGATAAGGCTGAACATTTTTTCACTTGTTATTTACAGTAAGATAAATACATTCACCAACTTTTATTAAAATAAAACCATTTAAACTGGGTGTTCGGGTTTATATGTCACTTAGTATATTTAACCACCTGCATCTCGGTTAACCTCCAAATAATGGAAGAAAGTACTTAGTACTCCTCATCCTGTTCTTATGTAATCCTCAGAATATTGAGACATAGATGTGTGTGTGGGTTTTGATAACAATGCAGTGGGAAAATACAACGTCAAATTCACAAAGATATAGTCTGTCAAATCTGAAGAAAAAAGCCACGTAAAATGTCTTAATCTTGAAATATTGTGCTCTTTATAAATCCGTATCGAATAAATATTTATCGACAGCTAATAATCGCCGTCTCTGTTTGTGTCTCTATGACGCTATTCTGGGCTGAACAATAGAAACCCAATATTGTGGGTGCGAAATTTACTTGTAGAAAACGAACGACTAAGAGCTGGGATGCATTGTGCACTGAAGCCAAAGTAAAGAGTAAAATTGGTCGACCCAGACGGGGCAAGGGAAAGTACGCACCTCTGAGTTCCCTCGCAACTAGAGAGGAGCCTTAATAAAGTTTCTTTGGGATCCTGATAACAGCCGCGGTGCTCTGGCATTTAGGCTTTTGCTTGCGTTGCTGCTGCGGTGTATAAAAAAATATCTGACCTCTTCAACGAGATATCATCAGCGTGATCGATTTTACTTGATAGTTCCATGATCTCTCTTACTCTCCTTGAAATTAGGCACTTTATCTATATATACTAAGTGACATATAAATCCGAACACCCAGTTTAAATGGTTTTATTTTAATAAAAGTTGGTGAATGTATTTATCTTACTGTAAATAACAAGTGAAAAAATTTTCAGCCTTATCAGTTGGACATTCCGGTTTTTATACTGCTTCTTTTTAATTCACTATCGCTCTCAAAATGAATATTTCAGCCGCAGTAAAGAATGAACGTTGGCGGATTTTGGTTCTTGACATCCTTTACAATCGGTTACGATGCCTAGAGTACGGAGACCTGTACGATTTCGTCAACTTAGTGAGTTTGATAGGGGCCGTATAGTGGGATTTCGGGAAGCTGGACTTTCTTTCCGGGCAATTGCAGTTAGAGTGCAAAGAAGTGTAGACACTGTGGTTAGGTGTTGTCAGGCATGGCTTCGAGAAGGCCGTACGCAAAGAGCAAGGGGCACTGGACGCCGGATAGAAAAACAGACCGTGATGATCGCCGCCTAAGATTATTGGCCTTAAGGGACCGTTTCTCCACTACCAGGTCCATTGCAAATGAATGGTTTGCAGAACACGGAAGACCTATTGGCATGCGAAGTGTTTACCGACGAATGAGAAGTTTTGGCTTGTTTTCATACCGGCCACACTGGGTCCTTCCTTTAACTCGAGAACCCCGACGTAATCGCCTTGAGTGGTGCAGACAACGGTCACTCTGGGATCAAGAATGGAACAGTATTGTCTTTAGTGACGAGTCTCGATTTTGTTTAGGCATGCACGATGGTCGTGCCAGGGTTAGAAGGCGACGTGGTGAAAGGAGGAATCCACAGTTTTTTGTTGAAAGACATGTTCATCACACTGTTGGAGTTATGGTTTGGGGTGCTATAGCTTATGGTTCCGGGTCACCTTTAATCTTCATCAGAGGTAACATGAACGCGCAGCGTTATATCCACGAAGTTCTAGAACCCCATCTTTTACCCGATCTTGACACCCTGGCAGATCCAACTTTCCAACAAGATAATGGCCGACCACATGTTGCAAGAGTCACAATAGACTTCTTTCAACATAATGACGTCACATTGTTACCATGGCCACCAAGATCTCCCGACTTATCCCCAATTGAGCACGTGTGGGATATGATGGGTAGGAGATTGCTCAATTTGCAACGTCCTCCTCAGACTCTAGAAGCACTTCGAGAGGAGTTGATGGTTGCCTGGAATGAGATACCACAGGAGGACATTGACCACCTGATCAGAAGCATGCCTAGGCGCGTTGGAGAATGCGTAGCACATCAGGGTGCATCCACACATTATTAAAGGTCAAAGGGCTTTAAAGCAGTGTAATCATTTTGAAATTTTTATCATTTACTTATTATGCTTCATTAAGTACTTATACAAAATTTTATTAAAATAAAACCATTTAAACTGGGTGTTCGGATTTATATGTCACTTAGTATACAATCATCCTATACGTATAAATCTTATTTTTTTACTATTTCACTGTCTTTTGTTAAATATAGGCTTTTTAGATTGCGAACGTATGACAATTCCTATACAATGTTTTTTGTCTAGAGGAAATAAATAAATGATTTACGTAACTTTCGAACAATATGCTGGAAGAAGTTTTCCTGATCCTGTAAGAATAGTAAATCGTTTCACTACTCTAGTAAGGAACTCCCGTCGTTTTCACTTCTCACGCCTGGTGGTGCGGGGAAATATTGCAAACGCAAACAATTTTTTGGAAAAAAGCATAAATAATAAAAATCGTCCAAACTTTGTTTTTGGACGTTTCAGAAGCAGAGGTTGCAAAGGGTAGATATTTGATTTTATGTTAGTACATTCATACGCTAACAGACTCGGTAATTCTACGCCCCTATTAGATATAGTCCCCCATAAATTTTTCCTTAAAACTTAGAATTATAGAGAAAATGCTTTCGATTGTACGTGTCGTCGCTGCTGCTCTCTGGGTTCACCGGTGGGAGTGGAGGTAAAATGCACATTTAGCCGAAAAGTCCAAGTTGAAGAAGTTGAGATTCAGTGCCTCCTCAAAACTGAAGAAGGCGGTCAGCCCTACGTCAAAAACTACTACGCCGTCTAATTTTCGAATTTTCTCTACTCTCAAAACCTTGGACAGTGGCGTAGCAAAGGGAGAGGCCGTCCTTTCCGGGAGTAACCCCAAAAACGGGCGATGGAAGCATGCCTTTGTTAAATGGCGTCGAGTAGAGTGACTCCATAAGATCCGTGCGATGATACCACCTTAAAAATGAGTCTGGTAGGATTTTGGGACATTTGATCTTCTTGAGCTAAGTTTCGATGGCAGTTAAGTACCTGGTCATTTTAAAGCCATTCTGGAAATCATTTTTTTGTTTAGTTTCAACCCCAATTTCTACTTTTACACTGCGTAAAACGTTCAAAACCCAACAATTATCTTAGCTTTCAACAGTCTTCTACACAATGTCATTGATTCTAGTCAAGGATTCTTCAAATGCGAATATTGAACTCTAGTACATCTTCATCTAGTGGTACCAAACTTACCGACATCATCTCTGCAATGGTATCCTAGTCTAGGGTCGCATTAAAAAAAAGGAAAAATCCACACTACCCCGGTCCTCACACATACACTTTAGGTCTAATATTTCGGCAACACTCGCGTCGAGTACCGGAAGGTACTTCTTGAGTATCACGAGATTCCAGCAAGATGGTACTAGAGTGTCGCGCGTCAGATCGCCCCTCGATTCTCGTTCATAGACTGACGTCGCTAGCACCGCCGAAGAGCTTCGCGATGGGCTTGCCGCTGAAGAAGGTGAAAGGTGGTACCCGCGAGTGGTCCCGACGGGCTTAGAAACAACAACGCGGCGGTGCATTTGGTTGTAGACTAGGGGACAGCGCGCGTTTTTACCCAAATAGAGACGTGTTAAAAACGTCATTTTTGAGATATTAGAGACGTCTTGTTGACGCTGTACGACATCTTGAAGACGTAAAGAGGACGTTTGTTACAAAAACTGCGCGTCTTAAAGATGTCTTTATAATACGTTCGTAGGGTCTTCAGAACTTCATCAAAAATACATAATAAAAAAACAGGCGAATTATAAAAAAGTGTTTTTATTAAAAAAAAATACATTTTTAAAAGACGCCGACAGCATCTTGCTTGAAGTAGTCCACATTCAGCGCGTACACTTACCTGTTAAGACACTAAACACTTTTTTGTTATGTTAACAAATGCCCAGGGAGAACACGATTGCCAATTTACTTCCTTTTTCAACAGCAAACACGTGGAAAATCATAGGTAGAAGAACTTTTCCCGGGTACGCTACACCCTACGCCTTAAAAAAAGTGACACAAATGACAAATGGCATTGACAGATGCCTGAGCTAGAGATGTTGCAGAGGTAAATATAGAGATGTGCTCGATTTAATCGACTTATCATCACCTAAAAAATTTTTGAAGTTTAAAAGATTCCACAAAGAGACAATTGGTGTTTATCGAGAAATAAAGATATCTTAGAACTTCAACGATTTGTCCTTTCACATAGTTTAAAGTAATAAAATTGGTTAAAGTGCGACAAACCAGTAAAAAATTCGAAAAAACCATTTATGGCCTAAATATCTGCCGAAAGGATTATCGTATCGCGATTTCGAGGTCATTTTCAACTTCTTTTGACCACCTTGTTGGGTAAAATTTAATGTAAAAAATATCTTTGGCACCTCTATCATTCCCAATACCAAAAAGACATCAGATTCACATTTATGTACGCGGTTTAGCTTTAGCAAACAAGATCAAAACACTGTAGAAAAGGTATGTCATCTTCTTCCTGAGGAAGAGACTATCCGAATGTGCAATAAAATATCCCAGTGAGCATGATGACGCCAAAATGACGTCATTATCCGGTCACTTTTGGTCGGAAACGCCATTGACTAAAAAATGACGTATTTAGTGGCGCCAACTTTATGACAGCGACACGTCCTTTAAGTAGCTGTCATTTTGACGTCTTTTTTAGGACATTCAGTACTAAAAAATCCACGCTAACGTTCAAAGATTTTTAATGAATAGTATCGTAAACTAGATATCCAAATACTTTATTTTTATTTATAAAAAAGTATCAGGAATTCTTTGACCAAAAATATGTTAATATGACTCTTCTAACAATAATATTGTTGGCAATGGTTCGGCCATTTTGTTTTGATATTTATATCGGTTTGACCGAAATCGCGATGGCTTCGTCGTCTTTTAGATACATTGTGGTACAATGTAGTAGGGACGATAGTACTGCCACTTGGTCAATAAGGCTTGGTACACGTTATACCAACTTTGTATTTGGTCTTTCATACGGCATACTATGACGTCAGTTGGGCGTGATATTTGACCGTCACAATAACGTCATTTTTGTTGCTCAACGTACGTCAGTAATGTCCCTAAAAATGCCAACATTAAGACGTCTCCATGTTTACTGGGACGGGATATTACATTTAATTAAATATTTTGATATTTCATAAACGGAACTAATACTGTGGGTTTTTTATTCAATAGCAAATCATGTGACCATTTCGTCTTTATGAATGTTCCAAGATATAAGCAAAACATTGTGATATAGTGAGCTCCCACATTTGTTACAAAGAAAAAGACTCAATATAGATTATATACCTATAAATGGTTAAAATAAAAAAGTAAATATATAATAAATTTATAAAGACTCAAAGCAACATAACAGCGCACATTACAGAGGTGTATATTTTATTGTGAAGAAGAGTGGATTAACTTAAAATTATTATTATTATTAGGTACTCAAATCAATCTTATGAGAAAGACACCCAAGTTATGTATGTTACTCATTGATACGTTGTTCAATTATTTGTTGGTTACAAAAATGTTGGGCTCTTTTTAGATAATCCTCAAATTTTGCTTCCAGAGCGTCCAGCCTTTCGACTTCTTGAAGAAAACTAGTATCTTGCAGTACCACAGCTTTTCTCTCTTCTACGTGCCTAAAAAATAACAATCTTTTAGTGCATCTAACGAGACACACACACACACAAACATTGAAAACTAATAGAGAAATAAAATGCTATATTATTTTGGGTTAACATGCTGTTGACAACTTACGCTTTTATATGTCGTGCTTCTGTTATTGTATCTTTATATAACGTTTTCCACTGATAACATTCTTTCGTAACCTTTTCAATATATTCAATGGATACATAGGATCAACTTCTAGAGAAGCTTTGGAAACTGTTGTTTCTAGGGTAGTATTGTTTGAACTTTGTTCAGATTCTTTAACATCGAATATTGACCGACGAGTCGCCTTCCGTGGTTTAACTACTGATTCTTCAAGAAGAGGTATCTCATTTGTTGCCATAATAGATGTGAATATTTCAAACAGATAAATAACTGTAGTTTGAACGTTTTAACCAACTTTTAACAGTTTATTTTAAATATGAAATTTTTGACAATGACAAATATGACATTAAGCACAAACGTCATGTATAGCACAAAACCGTGAGATATAAAAGGTTCATTTGCCAAGAATACAGGTATTCGTATTACCATTTCCATCCCTAAAATTGACATTGAACAATATTTGTTAGCTAGCTTAAATGCAAATCAGAAATTGTAAAAGTACGTTTTTTCATTTGTTGTGATGAAAATGGCAGTAAACGACACTTGTCTTCTTTGTGTAGTGGTATTTCTCTTTCAATATAATTATCAGTAACTGAAAATCCAACTCTGCGACTCGATAGTCGAATAACCATGGCTAGAACTTCACAACTTCCATCTCTATTGTAATCTGTCAAAACTAAAATATTTATGTAAATACAATTTTTCAATTTCAATCACATCAGCTCAGCATATCACCTAAAGTTAGAACTTGTGGCACAGATTGTTAGAACGTTTTTCAAAACTGTTCCATACTCAACTTTGCTATTACGTATACAGGTATCTTGTACTGTTCATAATGTGTTGATGCTTCCATTGGAAGCATACATACATAAGGCGACTTCTTACCCCAAAATAAGCCGCTGCTCGAAGCGGATCTGATGGTCTGGATCGTCTGTAGTGAAACTGAACCTCTGTTGAAGCCAGAATGTCATTGCAAACTCCATCATCAACTGTACCAAATGCAACGCTATCACTTGGCTTAGATGATAAAAGTGAAGACACTACACCATTTGGAAAGGCTGTCAGATGCTACGAAATCGTTAACACTAATGCTGAAGGCAGCATACAAGATATGCATCAAAATAGGATAAAATCACTGAGAAAGGAACTAGAGTACCTTAAGGAGACTAGCTGGAAGTATGATCCTATTGATAAATATATAGGTCAGTCTTGTAAATAACTTAGCTACTTAGATAAATGATTAATATCGGATTTGAAAGTTAAGTGAAAAATTAATGTAATATCTGAAACCTGTGGTTTCACATGTATCCAAAAATAAAATATGTGAAACTTGTCTTGTGGTTTTTATGTTGATAATCCCCCATGTTAGTCTTACCAATACCAATGAAACTCATATATTTGAAATTCCTCCTTAATGTATATGTTTCAGTCACAACAAATATAAATATGGTTTCATTGGGCAAACAACATGAGGGATTATCATCCTGCATTTTGAGGCTGATGAACCTCATTTTTTAGCCAACCAAAAATCACATGAATTACTCTTTAATGTCTTTGCCATTTTGATGTGTATTCTGTGGTGGTAAACATGCCAGTAATGGTTAATTTCTACATCATATGTGGTTGTCATTTGGCCAAAAAGACCTAGTTCTAACAATTTTGTTTCCTGCAATTTTGTATATACTTTACCATTACACCATTAAAGGTATAAAAAAGGAGAGTTTTTTCTTTGCCTGCTGTTGTTTAATCCCCTGATCAGATGTGCAAAAATTCAAACTACCTAAACCTTGGGTGGACTTATTTATGAAAATATTGAAATAAGAAAAAAGAGGTTTTAAGATTGAATTTTGGTAAATAACTGGTTTCTTATGAATACTTTAAACCTTCACGTTATTTTGCCCATAGAATCAACAACTGTACTCTATTCCGCCTTATTTCGATTTGATATCTTTATTTGAGACCAGCTTGTTTATGAATATTGTACACACATGATTATAATGGATATAGTGCCATATAATAATTACAAGCATACCATAAGGTCAAAGATGGTGGATAGTAGTACTCATATATCTCATACTTAATTAGTCCAGTTCTATGTGCAAAAAACTATCGAATTCATCGCTAACCTCTCATCTCTATAAAAAAAGACGTTTGATGTTGATGACAGCGACAGAGCTGTCAAGCTTTTCAACTTAACCTATTTGTTTGCGTGCTACAAAAAGCACGTCGCCCTGTCGCCTAAATTGTGAATGTAATTTTGCAAAAATGGCGAAGTTCGATTTGACTTCTAAAATAGCTCAATACTTGGATCGGCATCTCGTCTTTCCTTTGCTTGAGTTCGTTTCCGCCAAGGGAGTAAGTGACTTTCGCTCCGGCTGTAACAGATGTTGATGATTGCCTATTTTCAGACGTACAACAAGAACGACCTTTTGAAAGCGAAATTGGATATATTGAGTAAAACCAACATGATCGATTACGCCATAGATATCAGGAAAGAATTGTACCCAGAGGAAGAAGTACCCGAGGATTTGAAAGAAAGGAGATCGCACGTTGTTGCGCAGCTCCACCAGTTACAAGAAGAAGTAGAACCTATTTTGAAGGTTCTTGATGATGAGGAGTTCACAAAGAATATGGAGACGATGAGGGATTCGAAAACACTCATCAACTATCTTACGAATACCTACAAGGTAAGAAACATTAATAAAAATGCTTATGTAAGGCATTGCTATAAATCTGCTCAAAATGATGCAGTTTTATGTGAATGCCAACATCAAATGTTCAATTTGAATTATAAAGGGGTGTATAAACTATTGCATGTAGTCATTTTTTGAAGGTATCTTGTAACTGTTTCCCCCTGGGTAAATAATGAAAACAAAAATCGCCTAGGTGAATTATAATGAATGTCATATAACATTGTATAAAGCTAACTTCACTATGTCATTTTGACAACTAAATTATATAATACAAAATATTTACTAGAAGGGTGAAAACTCAGCTAGTAATATCACTTTATGCACTTCTGAAACTACAATGGTCCAGTCTACAGACCAGTTTGTTTCTTATTGCATTCATTTGAGTTTGAGATCTTACTACTAATTGTTTCAAATTTGTAAATGAGCATGAAATACCATGATGATTGATTACACTATGGAAATATTTAAATCTAATAAAATATAATAGTGTTAGTAGTGAAAAAAATCATTACATAGAAGGCCATTATTGAGATGTACTTCAGGATATAAGCTTGTTCAACCATTAATAAATCAATTTAAACTTAAATATGTAATCTATTATCTTTATTTGATGTGTCAGCTGTAAGATACCCATGATTAAGAAATGCACATATTGAAGACATCTTTTTTTTAAGGCTTTTAATCCAGTAGCACAGTTCAAAGGCTACATGTTTCTGACCGCGACAAATGATTGCATAATTTTGCCAACAATGTTTTAAAAATATCAAATACCAATATTGCACTTTTTCCATTTATCATAGAAATGATCAAGTATTAAGATAAAAATAAAACTGATTCATTTTTTACTTATTACAGATTAATATTGAGATGGTAGACAGTTTGCACACATTGGCTAAATACCGTTATGAGTGTGGCATGTATGCAGTGTCTACTTCCTACCTCTACTTCTGCCTCCTAGTGCTTCCACCCAATGACAAACACTACCTGAGTGCCCTCTGGGGGAAACTAGCCTCAGAAATCCTCTACCAGAACTGGGACTCGGCACTAGAGGATCTCAACAAGCTGAGAGAGTACATCGACTCGAGTCCCAGTCAGTTTGGAGGCAATGCCTTGCAACTACTCCAGCAGAGAACATGGCTTATCCATTGGTCACTTTTTGTATTCTTCAATCATGAGCTCGGGAGAGAATATATCATTGACATGTTTTTGTACAGACCACATTACTTGAATGCCATTCAAACAATGTGCCCTCACATATTGAGGTATTTGGCCACAGCAGTTATTATCAACCCTAGCAGGAGGTCTGCTCTGAAGGATGTTGTGAAAGTAATACAACAAGAGAGTTATACCTATAGGTGAGAGCTCAGTTTTAGGATTTTTTCCATATCGGAAGATAACTAGAATTGTTTTCCATATTGGAAGATAATAATGATAACAACACTCATTCATTGGAACAGTTGTAGAATCAGGTGATGGTGCGATTGGATTTGACCTTGACAATAATATTCAAGGACGTTTGAAGGTCATGTCAATTGTTTAAATTGAACCCCCATATTGACCCCTAAAATGAAAAAAACCGACAATTTTGCGTTCAAATATATGATTAAATTTTGACCTTAGGAGGCCTTGGTCAAGGTCAAACCCAGGTACGGTGATGCAACTTGAATGGCAGTAGGTAAACTACTGGGACAATATTGTAATGATTTTCCCGGATATCAAATGGTGACCTTGGCCATTACTTTCAAGGTCATTTGTAGGTCAACTATTTGTTAATGCGATCCTATACTTTCTGCTGCAGAAATGAAAAGGGAAAATTTTGTGTTTGAATATGTCCTTGACCATTTTTGAAACTTAACCATCAATGTCAAGCACAAGTTCACTTTATTTTCTTGATATTTCAGAAAACTGTAATCCCCAAATAACTTGACCTAACGTTCTCCCAGGATTGTTCTGTGGCTACACAAATCGACTTGACCTTCTCATGACCTTGAAGGTCAACTTGGTTAAGGTCAGATCCAAGGTCGCCATTGGATATCCATGGAAAATGATGAATGATAATCTCTTAGTAGTTTCCCTATATGACTACTGGTTTACAAGTTATTTCACCATTTCTGGGTTTGACCTTGACAATGACCTCCTAAGGTCAAAATTTAAGAATGGTCAATGTCATATTTAAATGTAAAATTTTCCGCAATGTTCATTTATGGGCTAAAAAATGGGGATGACCTTGAATGTCATGGTCAAGGTCACCATTAAGTAGCAAATGACATATTTTACTGTTTTTAAGAGGCAAATTATATTTTGTGGCCCATCGTAAAATAAACATTTACGAACGATATGACTACAATACTAAGCTTTCAAAACAGGTTTAAAATGTCTGATTCCAGAATCTGTAAATTCGAAATCATACATGAAATTCGTCACACAGATATTTAATCGTCATTGATTCTCATTTTAACGAAATCTTGACAAAATTTCACTTGTTCCAATATTTTAAACAGCAGGATTTTTCTGTAAAGATGAGTTGCTCTCTGTCCAATACATCTTCTGGCATTGACACTTTTTTTTAAGCAGATTCAGCTTATTTGACGTCCTTTATCTGAATTAGCAGAGTCATGTCAAGCATTTTGTAATTTCAAACTTTGTTCTCCATCTTCTTACCTTGCTTATCTTTCATTGCAGGGATCCAATTACAGAATTCCTCGAACATCTGTATGTAAACTTCGACTTTGAAGGGGCTAGACAAAAACTGCACGAATGCAAGTCAGTAGTTTCAAATGACTTCTTCCTTATCTCCTGCCTTGATGCATTTGTAGAAAACGCTAGGCTTATGATCTTTGAGACTTTCTGTCGGATACACCAGTGCATCAGCATAGGAATGCTGGCTGAAAAACTGAACATGAACCCAGATGAAGCAGAATGCTGGATCGTCAATTTAATAAGGTAACATTTGTCCGCCATAAATAGAATATTTTATTTCCTACAGTTTTGTTCAACTATGAATCATGATTAATACAAAGTTTTACCACTCACCGAACTGGTTTTGCAATACTTGACACATGTTAAAACTTCCAAAAAAACGCAAAACACGTATCACAGTTTGCCAAATGGTAAAACTAGTAATCATACTTCCTGCGCCAAAGGATCCAATAATATATATATTTTATATGAGTATGCGATACTTGTTGAGGTCAGATTTTCAAGATTTCAAGAAATATTTTGCTATGTAGTCTGTAATTTTGTATTTGTTTATAGGAAAGCTGGACTGGATGCCAAAATTGATTCAAAACTGGGTCATGTGGTAATGGGAGCTCAGCCCTTGTCGCCTTACCAGCAGCTCATAGAAAAAATTGATTCCCTCTCAGTGAGATCGGAAACGCTGTGTGGAATCATTGACAAGAGGTTAAGTCAGAGAAGTGATGTAAGTATATAATATATAATCCCAACTTGCGTTCACTTCAGTATTCCTTTTACATACTTTTTGAAACATTATTTTTTCTGTTTCAGATACGTTGGGGAAATCAGCATTTTTAAGAATCTAAAACAGAACTGCTATTTTTTGTATTAAAGCTAACGTTTTTCATATTGTGAAGTGCTGAATAAAAACACTACAGCCATCATCTCGTTTTATTTGGACAGTCCTCCTGCAATCAACGTCTCAGAAAAAAACTAGCACTTTTAAGAACTCAAGGTTTTGATTCTCAAATCACCCATTGACTTTTGATACATCCAATAGGGACTTGACAACTTTGAACTTTCACTGTGAACGCACCTTCAAATAAATTACGGAACTGTCAATGTCAAAACATGCAGTAAAGAAAACATTTTCATAATGGTGACAATTAAAATTTTGGTTTTTGGTAAGGTGAAAACTCTAATGTGCTTCAAGAAACAACCACTTGATCCACAAAAAAAATGTATGGTGTCGTTGGGCTGTTTTTTTTTCCGTTGAAAATGACCGTCGCGTTACAGTCAACGGGGATCGCTACAGAGACATGTTGCAACGAAATTTTTTTGGTCAATTGGAAGGGGTAGACATTAACGATATGTGGTTTCAATAAGACGGTGCCACAAGCTACAAAGCGGATGAAACAATCGACATTTTAAAATCAAAATTCGGTGAACGTATTATATCGATTGACCGCCTAGATCGTGTGATTTAACACCTGTAGACTTTTTTGTGTCAATATGTAGTATGAACAGGACGGTGCCACAAGCCACACAGCGGGTGAAACAATCGACATATTGAAATAAAAATTCGGTGAACGCGTTATATCGAGAAATGGTCTTGACGAATGGCCGCCTAGATCGTGTGGTTTAACACCTCTAGACTCGTTTGTGTGGGGGCTACATTAAATCATTGGTTTATGACAAGCCGGTGTCGTTACAGGAGTTCAGAGCCAATGTCGAAATGTGTGGTAGAGTCATTGAAAATTGTGTTCGATCGCTACGAACGTGCCCCTGGTGGACATATGAACGAGGTCGAATTCCAAGCATAAATCTTTTGAGTATACTTCAATCCTATAATAAAATTTTCGAGATATATCAAATGGTTTGCGTTTTATTTAAAAAGAAAGTTGTCAAGTTCTTAATGGAAAACCCTTTACATAGTCTGGTGTAATTAACAAGTGTATTTGATAAACCCTTGAATGGGAGAAGTCAATGTTGTTAGGGAATTAAAGGATATGGTCGGATGCAAGTAAATTATAAAAAAGCCTGACTGTGGTATCTGAGAATGAATTTTTAATTGTATCGATTCTCTTGAGGATACATCAAAATCCAAGCCATTAGGGTTGTAGCCCTACATTGAATTTGTTTGGAATCTGGGGGACAAGACTGACGAGATTTTTTGTTCAATGTAAAAGCAAAGATTCACCAGACCATTGACAAGAATGATGAACAGTAGGGCTATAACCTGTTTAATAGAAACTTCAAAGTTCACCAAAAACCGCCATTTTGGTTTTATGAAATTTTGTTATACCTGCTGTCAGACAGTGTTCCGACAAATCTAGAGATCCATCAAGAAATTTGAGCTGTGGTTCATACAAGAAATTTTATAGCTGAAATTTTTGATTAAAATCCACTATTTTGATTCTCTCACACTGTGAAGATGAATCAAACACCTCATACTCTAGTAAATAGTATGACAAAAAAATTGGGAAGATAAGCAAAAGGCAGATCTACAACATACCAAAAAATGATCCTAGTAAAAGTTTCACGGTTTATGAGATATTCTTTTTTTTTCTTTTTAATTTTTCAAGAACGGTCCTGATTAAGAAATAGAAGAACAGAACACAACTAAATGTGCCTGAAATATTCACGAGAATGTTCTTTAACTGAAAAAACCATAAATGGATAGGTGTAGGTATTCAGTACTGATGTCAACTTGGAAGTGGAGCATTTTATTAAAAGTAAAAAATTACTTATTGCACATAATACTAGGTTCTATTCTAACAGCAAGTTTGTGAAAGTGTGCTTATTCAATAAATAAAACCATAATCATTGTTTGAACACTGATCAGATGCTTGAGCTAAGTTAGACTCAATTTTTTATACAATTTCTGAGGATCTTAATACATATACCATAAGTTACTGAAGCTATTTTGTAATTTATTTTTTCAACCCCCTACTCAAAAATTGTGTCTAAAATACAGCATGTGAAAATCATTCATATAAATCAACAATGGTTATTCATCCCCTCTCAATGCTCTGTACTTATTTAGCTCATTTGGAAATGTCCTACTGAGTTCCACAAGCATATTTGCCTTAAATTTCCTATAAGCGTCTATTTTTCCTTTGACCTGTTCGTTTTTTGCTAGGGCTTTTTCTATGCAGTCTTTGGTGTATAACTGTGGATTACGGCCTTGATCGATGTAGCTGCAAAAATGCGTCGTTACTACTAATTTCAATGAATCTCAAGGGAACTTACTCAAAAACTTCCAAGGGCACATGAACGTCTTGAACGTGTGATTTCAGTTTATCGACTTCTTGTAGTCCATGCACCAACGCTTGCCTGCACAAAATTAAAAATTATTGTAAAATAATGGTATTCAATCATAGAAATAACTTACAATTTTTGATTCAGAACGTTTTGACTCTGTGGCTGGAAATCGCTTACGATAATGTGAATTTGTCGGACATTCTCGATGAACATTTCCAGCTGAGTTTCTAGATTCTCCAGAGACGATGCCATTGTTACTGTTATAATTAAGAAGGATAATATATTTTACTCAAGTGAACAAGTTATTTTTTCCAAAAGCAAAAGCTTTCAAAAACAAAAATGGCTGACATTTGTCAAAATAACAGATGACAATTGTTAGTTGACAGGAGTGATATTACCATAGAGCATGAGATTCAAGAATGTTAATAGACTACAGAAGATAAGTATTTCTGCTCTCCATCTTGGCTAGTACTAAACCTCGCCCTTCTTTATCAGGTTTGATTCCCATTTACTAACAGGTCCGAGTAAAGAATACATGGCCACGCTAATGGCAAATTTTGGCCGAAACATTTAAAAAAATGCAAATGAAAATTGCCGCTTTGACGTTCGATATGGGGCTGATGGTACCCTGGGATAGACACTCGTATTGACAGATAACCTTGTCATTCTTGCCTCCTGGATTGCGGCGTTGCCAGCCCATCAAACGATTTTGCTACCTCTGGTATTTTGATAGAACGTTATAAAAAAAGAAGTTTTGAATAAATATTGAGGAATACCAATGGAGATATATGAAATGTTAATGTCTCTGAACATTTTTTAAATGCCCAGTTTCATAGGATCAAATACTTTTTGAATACGGGAGACGTCTTCCAACAAAAAAACAATGAGATTACTGTTCTTAAAAAATATGTAGCTATAAGTAAGTCCAGTTCTATGCTAATATGACAGCAATCATATGCAACCAATTTAACTTCACTTAACTTCACGTGATGTACGTGACAATAGAAACGTCAAGATCATATGACAGTAGGGTGAGGTGATTTCTGTAGAATATAAAATTGATATTTTTCCTATTTAAAAAATATAATAATGAAGGGGTGTCTTTTCAACATCGACAACGGCTACCTGGAGGGCCTATGCAGGGGTTTCAAGTGTGGTATCCTCAAGCAAGCTGACTATTTGAACTTGGTGCAATGTGAAACTCTTGAAGGTACCTCTAACAATTAAAGTTTTAAGGCTTTTTCTTATAATTTGAACCGTTTCAGATCTCAAATTGCATCTGCAAGGCACTGACTATGGAACCTTTTTGGCCAATGAACCTTCACCCTTGTCTGTGTCCACAATCGACTCTAAATTGAGAGAGAAGCTGGTTATTGAGTTCCAACATATGAGAAACCAAGCCGTCGAGCCCTTATCTACATTCATGGACTTCATCACCTACAGTTATATGATCGACAATATAATTTTGCTTATTACAGGTAGGTCCCTAACTATTACAGCAGACCAACTTTTCAAAATTGCTGGAATCCGTTAAATAGGGATCCAGAATAATTTCACAAGTTTTGACTTTTCGCTCTGCTTTTATTTTCCGAAGCGACATAAAGTACCCTTGAATAACATCCTTTTTACAATTCTTGCTGACCTTGACATTATTTGAATGAACATGTGATCAATACAATCTACATATAAATCAAAATTGTCTTACCTATGTGACAGAAATATGAAATTATGGTATCTTCTTGTCCCTGTTCTAAATGTAGGTACTGAAAATTGTTCCCTTTGAATTATGTATTTTCCCTATTTGAGAATGGTTTCCTCAAACTTCACCAATTTACATTTTCCATTCTTTCTGTTACTTTCCTATTACATATAAAGAAAAAATTAAGAAATATTATTGTGAATTTGAAACTATAGATAGGGAAAAATTGTTAATGAATTTGTGTAACTATGGCTTTAAAGGATCAGTATTACACATTTTACAAAGTTATTTAGTAAATAGAAGTAAAAAAATTTGGAAATATTATGTCAAGTATTCAAAATATATCAGTAGGGGTGCCACAGAGGAGTAAATTAGGGCCCTTACTATTTATTATTTATATAAATGATATCTCTGACATTTTAGAACACTCCAAAATTCAAATATTTGCGGATGATACACTTATATATACAGGGTGACTTTGAAGTTGATTCATTAATTTTCAGATAATGATTGTAGAAGGAAGATAAACCAAAATATGTGTGTAAAAATAAAAATAAATAAAAAAAAAAGTTACCTTGTTTTATAAAGTATCCTCCCGACAAGTATTTCAGTGCGGACCTGTATTTGATCGTGCGGTCTTGGAGCACCGGCATGCCCTCCCCTGTGAGGTCTTAAATCACCTGATTCACGAGCCCTTTGTACTACATTAACAAAGGCACGAGGGGCTGGTTGCACTCGATTAAATAAGAATCATGTCCTCAAGTTCAGCATTTTCGTAAACATGTGCCATTTTTTATTTCGTTTGAGCCACGCAACAAACACCACTATTCACTCACGCGTTTGCGACTGAAACATTGACTCACATCGTGATAAACGTTTCAAATTCTTTCGCTTTTTTGTTTCCGATGCGATGAACCGATAAGGCGGATTATATCCGTTGTTGCCAAACAGGAGCACATAATATTATTATTGAGACAG